GAAGAGGACGAATGGATCGTCGAACTAAAATTTGAAGATGTTAAAAAAATGTTTGATCCCGTAATTAAAAAGATTCTTAAGTTAATACGTGATCAACTGAATCGAGGTGGTTCGATTTCTGCCATGTTCTTGGTGGGAGGTTTTAGTGAATCGAAATATTTACAAAAAAGAATTCGTGAAGAATTCTCGGACGAAGTTAGGAATATTTCCGTGCCTCCTCAGCCAATGGCTGCCATAGTTAGAGGAGGTAATTATAAAAAAAAAAATGGGTTCATATTTTTTACATATCGCAATTTTTTTGTTTTATTGATGAGAGTTCATTCCAAATTTTCAACAGCGCTTGAGTATGGTCTTAATATGCAGAAAATTAAATCCAGAACGTTACCCTTGACTTATGGTATTGAATTGGCACCACTCTGGTATGAAACATTTTTCTGTTTCTTTAAATTTTAAGAGGGGAAATAAAATTGATCTTTTATTTTAAAACTTGTAGGAAAGAAGGTGATCCACCAGAAAGAAAACAAACACACGGTAGAATTTTTATTTTCCGACGCTTAGTGTCAAAAGGCATCGAAGTTGACGTTGATCAAGAATTTGGATTAGAATTACACCCTAGCTTTCAAAATCAAATAGAAATTTCAATCGAGGTATACGCGACCAACGCAATTGAAGCAAAATATTGCGATGAACCTGGGATGAAAAAGATCGGGGAATTAAGATTAGATTTTCCGGACCCACATCTTGGTTTCCACAGAAAAATAACATTTACCTTAACATTTGGTCAAATGGAAATTCGGGCTTACGCGAGAAATCAGTTAGGCCAATCGACAAATGCCAATTTTGAACTTGAACTTTAGAATAAAGTTCTTTTTTCCTTTCCCTTTTTGATATATATATATTTATGCATTTATAGATAACTAATTTTCATTATATTATTTTTCTTCCTCCTGTTTAAATCATTCCTTTTTTTTTTCTTTTGAAAATAAAAATCATATCCATAACATTTTAAAAGGGCTTTGCGAAACTTAATTTAAAGCATTAAAAAAAAAAATCCCATTCGCTAATGTAGAACGAAAGTATGTTTAATAAAAACAAAAACGCAAGTTATCTTATAAACGTTCATAAATAATATTATGTGAAATATTCTCTGATAAGTTGAATTTATCATAATTGGAACGTTTTTTAACCGTCAAATTGATCGGTTAATAAATAGACTTCCGATTTTTATTCCCGAAGTTATCGTGTAAAGAGAGGTCATATAACAAACGTTGCCAATATTATTTATTATTCAAGAACCATATTTATTGTATCTAGCTTAAAAGAAGTATAATCAAATTTTGGTATGGTCCTTGACAAAAACAAATCCGCTTTATGATATATCTTAACGTTAAAGAATGACAAAAAAATTAATTCCAGCAGGATTCAGCCAAGGCAATAATGAAAGTGTTTATATATATATATATATATATTATGAACTTTGAAAAATCACAAACGTAAAAGCTTTGTTCGAAACTAACGTCTTTATTTCCTAAAAATCAAAATTCGCGTTGAAACATTTTTTTAATTTTATATAACCGAACCGGCTGGTAAAAAAAAAAATGCAAATCCATTATCAGTTATTATTATTTATCTTTTATGCTAACAATGACTTAACAGATGTTGAAAGCTAAGCAATTTTTTTTTTGTCATTATTTTTTTTTAAAAAAGAAAATAAACATTGCAGTGATCAAAGAATCTATGCGTTCCAAATATTAATTACCAAAGATGATATTGTGATGAAGAAGTTGTAAAGAAATTAGTAGTTTGTTTTGAATTACTACTTTGAAAACCCTAAGCAAGTTGATTTTGGACTAAGCTTTTCCGAAAATGGAAATCAAAGCATATTCGAGGAATAATTGGAATTGTAATTAAAAAAAGTTTTACGTGTTCAAAAAGCGGATTTAGATTTTTGCAATGAATCATTTATTAATTCCTGCCAAAATTTACGGAATATTTGGACCCCCCCTCCTAGATAAGAAATGAAGATTTTGAACCCTAGAATATATTGTATAAAAAAATTTTATTTAAATATAAAAGGAATTCAAAGATATAGACCACAACCTCTTTATGCATTTTCATGATAAATTATTAATTTGTCTTTAAGAACACGCGTTCATGTATAAAGTTCGCGACAGGTAAATAAATATACTGTATATAAAAAAATAAATAGAGAGAAAATCAAAAATTTTGGTCAAAAAATAATTCTTGGGCAACTACCGAGAAATCTTTTCTTTTTATTCGGTAAATTTATTGATTTAATACATATAAAGATCTCAACTGCTGTTTTTCCCTCCAACCTTTTCCTTTAACGTATACTAAAACTATAAGGCTGATACTTATCAAGTTGATAAAGGATAAAATAGTAAATAACCAACCAACACCAATGGCATTTTGCAATGGAACGGTAATCGTAATATAAATAGTAGCCATTATACAAGGAACAAATTCACTTAGTGCGATGGCCGAAGCACTTAATTCAGGATATGAATCGACTAAATAAGTTATCGTCGAATTCGAAACAAATAATGATCCAAATCCACCTAAAAAAAAATATATATTTTTTTTTTTAAAGGTTTGTCAACATTACGTTTCTCAACATATTGTAATAAAAATTTACCTAAAAACATGGAAATGATAGGAAAGATCAAATGAGCTTTATACTCGAGCGACCATCCAAAAGCACCAAATGAAATGGGTATTAAAACGCATCCAAACCAAATGCTATTCAATCTAACTTCCGGGTAACTGTACCCATCGTGCCCTACTTCGTACTTTGTCAACACATAATCGGAATAACGTCCACCTATGACGCTACCAATTAAATAACCTATACCTGGCGCAAGAAACGTCAATCCAATAAATGAATATGATAAATGATATGACTCGTAGAATATTATTGGTATAATGACGTTTTGTACGTACATGAATGCCCAGATTGTACTCATATAAATGATTTTTAATGATACGTTCGGTAAAGCTAAAAGCTTTATAGGCGTTAATATATTGAATTTTTTAACATTTCGTCTTATAGGTTGAGAAGGTGCAGTTGGTTGGGGAGTAGCGTGGTCATGACGATATGTTTCAGGAAGAAAAAAGAATATCAACGGTAGAAGAATACATCCAATGATTGCTTGAAACCAAAATATCCACGTAAATCCTAGACGTTCTGCGAGAAGTCCACCAATTATCGGACCTCCTAAATCTCCAATATAAAATCCAAGATACAAGATTCCATACGCCCATCCTCTCTCTATGATTTAAAGAAGTAAATTTAAAGGCAATTTCAAGAGGGAAGAAGAAAAAGAATATGAATGCAAGCAGGATACCCGTTGGAATGTAAATATCACTTATAACTCCTGCGCCGAGACATTGAGTTGCGGACGAACCACATGCTTGTATGGCTCTCATCGTAATTAATACCCAAATGTTCTTTACTAGTGCGCATATAACGCTTGGAATCGTGTAAAGCAATAAAGCAACCAAATAAACGTGACGTCTGTTCCCATAAGTGTCTGAGAAGGATCCAACGAAAAGCGGCTGTCAAGTTATTTAAAGTATCTTTACTTGAATGAGCATAAGAAAAATCAAAATGTTTAAAAGGGTATGGTCCGAATGGGCACTTACCGCGGTACCCGTAAAGAAAATGAATACGCTTACTACGAAAATCAAAAATGATGAATTAGTCGTCATTTAAAACCTGCAAAATGACGTGCATTTATTTTCGTCTTACTTGACACGTTAACGATAAATTCCGTGGTTTTAAAGTAATCGCGTATAGCTATAACGGCGGGATAGTATATCCTAGAGAAAAAAACAAACAACAATTAAAAACAATTCGATGATTCATACAACAAGTTAAATATATTTACGTGCTAGACATTGGAGAAATCATCGAAGCGAGGGAGACAATACAAAGGATTAAAGATTTCTTTCCTTTGGGCCAATTTTTTGGATCATGTGGTGGCAAGGTTGATTCCGTTAGAGTTTCCTTATTAAATTTCCGCGATTCTGGAAAGAATTTCCGCCATTTTAAGGATAATTTAGTGTCTCCGCAAGTCGTTTCTTCGATCTCGTTTTCAATTTCTAGTGAAGTTGACTGTCGTTTAGGCTTGATCTCCATTGTTTAATATATTTCTGTTATGAAAAAAAAAAAATTATAATTTTCACTTTTTTATACGTCAATCTTTTGCTTTAAAATGGTTGATACCAATAGGGTATTTCCGTGTACCCGACGACAATCTTGGGCCATTTTAATAATTGTTCCTCAAAAAATGGGATGCCAAAGACGCAGTAATGCTGGCCAAAAATTATAAATATGAACCTGACGGGGATTTACTCACAAAATGCATGCAACTACATTTTTTTTATTTTTTATGCACGTGTGAAATAAATTTTTAATCTGTCGAATTCGAGCAAGTCTCGTTGGCAAGGTTTTTATTGGATGGATTTACAATTTCAACCAATCAAAATAACACTTTTTAAAATCATGTGCATAAATAATATTATTATAATTACTATTTTTTTTTGAAGAAAAAAAAAAAAAGGAAAAAAATTCTGGAATAAAAATAATTGCTTTCTACAGGATTTAAAAGATCTTCATTAACCTTTGCGTAAGCACAGATAATCTTTTTTGATTATGCATGAAAAGGCAAGACCTAAGCCGAATATGCACAACTTATGCACACTGAGTCCCATCATAGAACAACGATTCTTTGTAATTGCAGATTATATATAACTCAAAGGGTAAAAGATGACACCAACAAAAAACCTGTTATGAGGAGTTTGGAGTACCGCGAACGGAATAATTATCGCATATTTAAATAATTCTGTCAAAAAATTTTACTCCTTTTTTTTTTTTTGGTTAAATAAATAACCAAAAAAAACCATCCTTAATCACGAGTGTTCTCACGAATAATATTTTTCTTTCATTAAATAATGAATTTTATACACTGGAGAAAAAACAATGATTATTCAATTGTTTATTTAAACAGGTTTTTTTTTTTTTTTTTTTTTTTTTTTCAGGAGAAAAGGTTGGACAGTGATCGAGTGATAAAGGACTTTATACAAGTGGCGAAGGAAATATAAAAACATGTACAAATTTGTCTTTATGCTAAAGAAAAACAAACAACGATCATAAACGCCACCAAAAGAATTATCTAAACTAACTACATTTAATTTTTAAGTTCTGTTGCATGACCGTGTCCACATGTGTTTTCACATTCACGGATTTTTACGATATGCCCAATTAATATTTTTTTATTATTTTTTTTTTTTTTCCCCAAATTAATGACTAAATGAAATGACCCAAATATTTAAATGTTTGATTACCCGTAATCACAAAGAAATAAAATTATATACTCATTAATGGTTATCCACCAGAATAGAAAATAAAATTTACAAAAATAATGTTTTAAAAAAGACAAAGTATTTACAAAATTTTTTTTCGAGCACCCTCAAAGTAGAAGTAGAGAGAGATTACGACTCTTAAACGAAATTTTTTTTTTTTTTTTTTTTTCTTACAAATAAAATAAATAGTAATGGTATTATATGAAATGAAATAAAAAATGAAAAGGAAAAAATAAAAGAAAAATAATGTTTAAAAAATTATATTACATTAAAATTGACCCCCTTTTTTTTTTTGTTTTTTAATCATTTTTTTTTGTTAAAGAAATGCATGTGAGAAAAATCATAAAATGAAAATGTTTATATAGTAGAAGTAATAGGAAAATTCAGGAATTTGTATCTAAGGAATCCCACCCTTCACTCGGTCCACATTAGTGAAGAAAGTTGAGAAAGTTGAGACTTGGAAAATCCGACC